GGTCTTAAAGGGTTAAATAAATATCGTCAAATAATCGAGATCTCAATTTCAGTGAAAATAATCGTGATTATCATTTTTGCCATAATCGAGCAGCCCTACCTCAAGCTTCACAGCCACTTCATTACTAACACCTTGGTAGTTCAAGGTTGGGCCCTCGGGCCTTCAGATTGCCTAAAATTTGCGTGTTAAAGATTCAAAAACATTAGAGAAACAATCTTCAGAGATTTTTGTCCATATTGACACAATAGCATAACGCATTTGTTGCAGACTTCTCATGTCCACTTCTCAGTGTAGTTTATGTTTGATGAATGAGAATGAAGAACGGCAAAGACAGTCGGCCTTGATGAGCAGAAACGTTTCAAACTTTTGTGGCAAAATATATTAGGTTTGGATAATTCACTAGCAAATATAAAAGTGTTACATATCCATGTACCTTGGAACACAGATTGCGTACTCCGTCTGGTATCATTTTCTGCCATCTGTGTCACACATTGTTTTGACTTTTGTGCCATAGTGTGAGAACTTGTAAAGATGATTCATATAGGCAGGTGAGTCAGACCCACATATGTCATTACTGGAAAACAGAATCAAGCAGACGGGGGAATCACAAGTGTTGTCTCGTTAACACAGTTGTGGGTAGTTTGAATGGATGCATGTGTTCACATAAATGCTGAGGCAAAGGCTCTTATCATATCATCTTATAAATGTGTAGGAGTGACAAATGGAGTGAATTTAGTTTCTGGATGTGTGTAGTCTTTGTGCTGAAAGGTGAGAAATTCTAAGACTGCTACGGTATGCGAGCACTGCGTCTCACTAACACACTTCCACGTATGCCAGGCTTTGGTCATTGCATCTCTTTCACACCCACATTCACACAAGCATAGGAAGTGAAAGAAAAGGGGAAATTCTTGTGCTGAATTGATCCCTGGCCAGTGTACATGAACAATAGAGAGTGAGTGCAGAATTAGAGATAGTTTACACGACAAGCTGAAATATTGTGTGAGAGAGAGTGGATATATTTGTTTAAATTATTTGTGTCACTGCAAACTTTGCAAAGACTCGAACCCAATTATATAATTGCACATAAAAGATTTGATAATAGGCATCATTGTCACCTTAACTAAGCTTACAGTGTGTGTTCACTCTTGTAGCTCTGGGTGTGGTGACAGTGACCATTTATTTTTAACCTCTGATCTCTTCGTAGATATAATGAGAAAACTGTAATGAGCAGTTCGTGGGTGATGCTGCTACAAATCATACACTAATGCTGTGTGTGAATTCATCACCACTGCGATGCACCTGATATTTCACCCCAACTCTAAATTTAAAGTTTGGGGATTGTGTTAAGTACGTATTGGGACCATGGACTCTATTATGAAGATGCAAACAATAAGACATAACAAATTAAGACAAACATTCTAAAGCCTCAAGATTGGCCTTCTTACCTATTTATTTATTTATTTATATAAATAGGAACTCTCTTTGATGATATGGGTAGCTTCTAAAATGTACTTTCATGAGAAACGGAACAGCTGACAAAGTAACCACACCCATGTTTATTCACAACTTCATTATTTCAGCTTATATGTATATATGTAGGAGGAGATCAGCTGACATTTTGAGCCAAACTAAATTAGGGTTTTGTGGAAGGATCATTTTGGGAATTTTAGCTCGAAAAAGTCCAAATTGGTGTGTAGGTGTAAAGGTCATATGTAGGACTTTGATGACACTATTGTCGTGTTTTTATAACCTTAGAATGATCCTTTTGTATCTACAGAGGGAGGGACTCCTGTTCCTCCGAGTCCACCAGGAGAGACAGAGGTGTGTGTTTAGGTTAAGGTACCACAACAGCTCATTTCTGTCCTAGCATGGTACCATGGTACAAGGGCCACCAAACAAGCTCATCACTTACTGCTTTTGAAGATTCATCCAAGCTTTGGTCTCTTGAGCTTTCGTTTCCGTTGTAATAACATACATGAAACAGACCGATGGAATTGATGTTTTTCCTTAACAGATGTCTCTCTCATGAGACACACTGATAACAGCAATTATCCCCTGCTCAAGCTTACTTCTTCTTAAGCCACTTCATTAAGCACACCTTGGTGTTGCAAGGTTGGATCCTTTTTGCCTTCAGAACTGTTGTAACATATTCAACAAAAAAACATTCCTCAGATGTGTTGGAGCATATTGACATGATGATATTACACAGTTGTTGCAGACTTATCAGTTGCAAATGTGTGATGTGAATCTACCATTTTGCATGTGCTCTGTTGGATTAAGATCTAGTGAATGAAGAGGCCATTTGAATTTGTGAAACGGTGCATCATCATCCTGAAATCAGTCATTAGATGATGGCTGTTCTGTGATTGTAAAGGGATGGACAACCATAGCAACAATACTCAGGGAGTCAGTGGCATTTTGGAAGTTATGTACAAAGACTCCACTCTGACCTGCTGACCTGTTGATACAGGACAGAATGCTTTTATTAACACCAAATTCTCACCCATCAAACTATTGCAACAGTTTATCGTCTACCTTTGGTGAACATATGTGGATTGTTATTTGAGTAATTGTTGCCTTCTTATCAGTTCAAAGCAAGCTCCTCCTCTGAACAACAAGATATTTTTACACAGAGAACTGCCGCTCAGTGGATATTTTCTCTTTTTCTGACCATTCAAGGTTAACCGTAGAGATAGTTGGGTGGAAAAAATACAGTAAATTGACACCACCAATCACATCGTTTTCAATATCTCATAAATCACTTTTTTCCTGACATAGAGGCTGAAATTATGATACAGAGCTCCACAATGAATCATGTTATTATATCATATTGTATCATGCTATTCTAGTAAAAGTTGTAATTCAGATAAATAAGTTTTCTAAAGATCCTAAAGCCTTGATAAATGAAAAGACAGTAACATATTTTAAACTACAATATCTGTTTAACTGAGGCAGAGAAATATTACTGCACTCCTTCCTGGCAGGTCACTATATTACACATTAGTTTCTCAAGCATGCACCGCTTGAAGTTACACCTTAGCAACTTTTTTGCTTTTGTCACTTTTAAATTATCAGAGAACGAAATGCCAAAACCACACTTTGACACGGAAAATACAAAGGTTTCATTTTCACACGTCTTTGTGTTAGATAACTGAACTGAAAAGTAAACTGTGGGATATTTTGATATTGTCTTCTTGGCTTCATTTCAAGAAGATATCTTATGTCAAACCACAGTTCTGCATCACAAGAAGTGTCGCAGCTGAGAGAACTGGCTGGTGTGACGTGGCATCTTCACAGGAAAGCTAATGTTCAGCTGTCGCTCTCAAACTAAATGCTTGAGTAACAAGTGGTGAGGCTTGTGTGTTGACTGGGATGACCATAGTGAAGACATGTGACACAGATAACGATAGAACAGACTAACGCTCTAAAATTTAGAGCATTCTCATGTCGGTATATATAAGAAAATGCAGTTAATTCAATATGACTTTATTTACATGACAGATTATTATCTCAAGGCAATTTGTACTGTAAGCTAAAAACCCTACTGTTTTTATAGAGAGAATCCTAACAACAGACATCCTCTATGAGTAAGTATATGGCAATGGTGGGGGTGAAGAACTCTCTTTTGACACGAGGAGACCTCAAGCAGAACCAGGCCTTGGGAGGGGCAGCCAATTGCATTGACCAATTTGGGTGTCAAGAGAAGGAAAAGGGAGGAAAGAGGAAGATATAGAGGCAAAAAAACAACAAAGAACTGAGCATGTTAACATCACCGACTTATCAAACTCTAAAACTGAAGCCAGGCCAATAGAGCATCAGTGAAAGTGCCGCATAATGCAAAAAAGTAAGGTAGCATTTTGTGTGTTCATCAAATAAACCTCCTGTTTGTGTGTGTTTGTTTGCTTATTTGTATGTCTCTGTGCATTAATGGGTGGGTTGTGCAAGGCTTATATCTTTCTCAAGTATCGAGTGTGGGTGTTATAAATAGCAAGCTGTCCTCTCAGGATATGCAGTGTGATATTTCCCTGTCTTTCTATTGTTCTTTTTTCTGTCTGTCTGCCTGCTTTGTCTGTGGTTCAACAGGTTCCTGTCTGCTTTTTTGATTATTTTCCAGACATTCTCACTGTCACGCATACCATGCAGTAAACCCACGCGACGTGGTCACAGATCTAGTATTTGTTAGGTTTTAACTTCCACGCTATGAGCTTGTCTGGATGTGGTGATGTAAAGCAATGACACCAGACTAGGATGAGTTTCCGTCTTTGGTTGAAATTGAAAATGACAAAAATGCATTTGTGGTTATTTGAGACATGTCCGTCTGTTGACAGTCATGTGATTCTCTAATATGATGCAAAGTGGATTTTTTTCAAAGAAAATTCCCAGTTGTATATTTTTCTGCTTTAGACACTAACTGGTGGTGGACATGGAAACTGTCAGTATAAGCTTGCTTGACTATTCAGCACTTGACCTTGGAGGAAAAGCAGCTCACTGTAGGGTTATGGAAAGACTGAATTGCTGATGCATGTGTATGTGTTCTCATTCCCGTTACAAGGGGAAGACTGTTTCCATTGATAAGAGCTTAGAAAGGTCGCTGTGTTTATTTTGAGGCTGAACTCATTTGTGTTCACTGATATATAAGGACAGATAACAAACCAGGCGTCCAAATGAGAATGGTATCACTAAGAAAATGTCATTACATTAAACTGGGAACTTTTTGTTTCGTTTTTTTATGACTTCATGTAAAAAGAATGTAATTGATATGCTTTTTTTATTTGTTCTAACATTTTCTATATGTGGTTAAAATTGGCTGCAAATTAACACTGTGCTCTTTCATTTAACCATGCACACACACACACACACACACACACACACACACACACACACACAGTTTTAGCCACTGATTTTAATGGTGCTAAATTGCTGTTCTCCTTGCATAAGCATTTACGCAGTTATAAATTTGTTCCCCTTTTAAAACCGTTTCACTTTTTGTATTTCTGCAGAACAGGTTTTAGCAACCGAGCTGCAGCCGATGGATAATCTGAAGTTTGCGCTCTTCTTAATCATCCTCACCACTGGTAAGATCTTAGAGATACTTTATCTTGTTCATCATAAAGCAAACTGCATTCATGTTGTGCCACTTCCTACATTATACGTTATGTTGCCCTTTTTATAGATATTCTAGAAGAGACATTAAATGAACATGACAGAATTCTCAAAAATATATTAGATTATCAGTTTTTCATAGCATTTCCTTTATAGTATTTTTCTCTATGTGACCTCTGTTTGTGAGCATTAGACAACTAGAGTGCCTCAGATAGTAAGGAAATACTTTGCTGACACAGGAGAGTTAAAGCTTCCACTACCATAAGAACTCTTCGGTCAGTATCATAAAGCAAGGCAGGACACATGGGCTCCAATAGGAATCAATGCAACGCCGAGCTCATGAACTGATCATAAGTTTAAAATTTGTAAATTGTAACTGTGACCTATTACCCAAGTGCTGGCAGACACACATTCATTTACATGTCAGTTTTCTGCCCTGAACCTAAAGTCTAGCCAAAGTAGTGACATTTTTGCAAACAATGCAGGTAGATGGCAGGATTGTGTTACTGAATGCGGAGGTGTAGTATTCATTGCTTTCAGTCATGTAACCAAAGCAAAGCCCTGGAGGAGGAAAATAATATAGCGACAACATGCTAGGAAACACTCAGTACTATAGAACTGCAATACAACCCACTAAGTTTCCCAGTAGCTTCAAACCACAAATATTTAAATCACCTCAGTGAAGAGAAGTGAAAAATATTATTTGAGCACTTGTAGTCCACATTGCAAAGTCCCTGCAAGAGGTCTACTTTAGAAATGCTTAACTTCTCTCTCTTGAATAATCCCTGCCCTTAAACTACCACCAGGATGAAAGCACATACAGTAGAGTGCAGCAAGAGGGTTGTTTTTATCATCTGGACTGGTCACTAATACCATTGTGAAGTAGACGAAATTTTTCATTTTCAAAACAAGTGGGAGAACCAATTAGCTAAATGTGTTAATTATGTTTTAATACTGTGTGCTGTATTTTAACAGTTTCCAGTAACAATGACAATGACCTGGACTGGAACTTTTGCGGCACATGGCACCATGGCAACAACCCCCTGAGCCTGAACCTCAACATCTCTACTGGCTGTAAAGGAATCTCCATTTCAGCCAATGAGAGCTTTCTGTCCATCAACGGGCAGATCACAGCCCAGTGTAGGCGATCTGAAGTGATTACCTTCAAGCACCTTGGACTTGAGTCAGGGGAGGACATCAAGTTCTGTCTGGACTGGGAGCCACTGCTGGACCAGTTAATGCTGACAGTAAGTGATAACAATTTTTAAATTTAAGTGTGGGTTCTAAATGCTATTTTTTTTTTGTTTCATCATTTGACACCCATTATTTTACTCAATAACATTAAAGTTCAGGAGAACTCAACTAAAAATGAGCGTGAGGTAGTTAAATGAAAGATGTGGAAAAAGCACATGTGTATAATAATATACCACCACCACATTCTAAAAGCCATATAACAAAATGTAAAATTTATATGATGTTCTGTACACTGCATACACTACACTAGCTAAATTCAAGATTATTATGATAATTTCTGTTTTTTGTTTTTGTTTTTCCTGTTGTGATGTTCAGGTAGGAGAGAAGAAGCTTATTCTGTGCTCACCTGCAAGCCTGCAGGATTCCTGCTGCACTGACCTGAGTGATGTCCAAAACACACAAGAAGCAGACTACGGCATCCTCAATACCGAGATTTATCATGATTTCATCACCGACAAAACACGGATGGCGTACAACTTTCAAGCACATTCCACCAACTACAGTAAGGAAGATTACACATATTGTGTCAGCATATTCTTGATAGAAAATCTGTGAATGAAATATATTTAGCAAAAAATAAAATTGATGTTCTGTACTGTTTTATTTGTTCCAATAACTCAGTTTGTCTGTAATGTTGTTCATATTTAGCTTTGCTGAACCAGCATTTCAGATTTCTGTTATCAAGTGCAGCATGTCAGAATCAGAACTTTCTCTTCTTTTCTGTTTTTGCAGCAGAATTATGTGAACAGGCGAAACGGGAATCCGGCCCCAACAAGTAATTTCCTCTCTTTTCCTCACATGCACCAGTTTATTGCAGGGATATCATGGCAGGATGTTGTAGACTGAAGTACACAAACTTTGATTACAAACGAGGAGTGAAGACATTAGCTGTCTGATGTAATATTGCTCCATTCAAATGAAACATGACAAACTTATAATCATGGCTGTGCCTGATGTTTGTGTCCAGGTGTGCTGAGCCTCCATACGCTCACAAATCTGATGTGGAGATGAAGGAAGATTTCAAAGGCCACAGCGTCACATCACCTGTAAGACAAACACACAAAAGTTAAAGAGACTTGTCTTCAGATTAACCTTTTCTTTTTCAAACCAACCAGTGTGAGAAGGCTTTGATGATTTATTTTTAGAGAGTGGATGCTCTGTGATAGTGTGTCAGCTGTTGTATTGCAGTGTTACTGTTCTGAACTACCTCATCTTACAATCTCATTTAATTATAGCTACATTATAAAAAAGATAAAATGATCAAAATGTTATTTGTAATAAACTATACTGAAACAAAATGAAATTTATTAAATTTCAATTATTTTTCAAAAAAACATTTGCAGTTCATTGTAATTAATTTATGTCGCCCACTGTGGCACACGGATATATTTTTATAGGTTAAGAGGAACACAGAGGGCAGAAAACATGTCAGGTTTTGGATTTGTGTACACTCAGTAGTGTCAGTTATTATTTGGTGTAGTAATGAGTTTAAAAACTGGAGGAGTGAAGAATGAAGTTAGCCTTACCTTTGCTTTCTTTAGTGCTCAGGCTGTGATGAAATGCAACCTTTCCTCCTTAGACACACAAAAATGTCCCGCTCTGCAGAGTAATATCACCTCTTAAATCCAATTATTAGGTTTCTGTAGGTTTCACCTGAATCACACATCTGCAGAAGTGAGGTTTCACTTTCAGTCATACGACTGGGATGAAGATTCATATTTTTAGAGTTTGCACTGCTGACATTAGCAAAAAACCTTCTTTGCATCTGAGACTGTGTGCTTCCATTTTTAATCCAGACTTACTTTACAGCACATTTTTGAATAACCTAGAGTATTCATGCAAGTAGAGGGGAGAAGTGATGTAGTACAGAAAATAGGGTGGGAGGTTAGTCACATAAAAGTGACTGATGGCAGCATTCTACTGACGATTACAGGATGGTGTTGAAAGCTGACTTTTTTTTTTTCCCTCTAAACGACCCTAAAATAGAGTCATTTAGTAACCCAACAATCTCAAAGCAGAGCCACAAGCAGAGCTGCAGAGTGAAGCAGGTTTTGCTTACATTGTAAAAACTCACAGTTCTTATATGTGCTGTCTTTTCCAGGCCATTGCTGGTAGACCTGTCAAGTCCAATATCACTGTCCACCTCCCTGCTGCCTTAAAACAAGCTGCGAAAAATGTTAACAATGTAGCCTGCACTTTCTTCAAGAACATCTCCCTGTTACAGGTAAGGCTGTTTGCCTTCAGTCGATACAGGCACATATGACAGGATTTCAGGTGACCTTATTTAGCTGTCAGCCTGCAATTTTTTCCAGTGTTCACATTTGTGATTCTATCTGGAATACTTTTGTTGCTTTGTGTGCAAATATTTATGCTGCATTGTGTAAGATGAAGGTCAAGTTGTGTGTGTTTGTTTCAGGAGGCTCACAAAACTGCCAAGCCTATCAATGATGTGGTGGAAATCACGGTGGAGAACGAGATCATCAGAAATCTGCCTGAACCCATTAGGATAGATTTTTACCATGAAGCCGTATCTGTAAGTTTGTGTGTTTCTGTGGCGTTTAGCCTGTATCAGTATGCTCCCCACCCACTTTATATTACTTAAAGCTACTTCCTTAAACTGACACTTACTGTACCAAATAGTAACTGCTGAATTGACTGCAATGTGCTGCAGTGCAAATATCAGTAAACACTCAGGGTGACAAATATGGCTTAGGTGCAGAAAACAAAAGCAAAATGCTGTTAAGTTCTGTAATATCAGCCTGTTGACCTCAAAGGTGCAACAAGCACAGAAACCATGTGTAGCAAAAATAGACTGCGGTCTTAATGTGCATAGTTTCTGTGAAGTAGTCATGGTGACACATGAAACTCCCTGTTTTTATGTTAACTGTGATCTAAACATTCTTTAGCATTATGGCGATACACAGTAAGCCAGATTATGTATGCAGCAAATAGGAAACAACTTTAAAGGAACTAAAATGTAGATTTTTACCATGAAGCCGTATCTGTAAGTTTGTGTGTTTCTGTGGCGTTTAGCCTGTATCAGTACGCTCCCCACCCACTTTATATTACTTAAAGCTACTTCCTTAAACTGACACTTACTGTACCAAATAGTAACTGCTGAAATTGACTGCAATGTGCAGCAGTACAGATGTCAATACACACACAGGCTGTCAAATGTGGCTCAGGTGTGGATGCTGTTAAAAGACAAACAAGATGGTTTTTACTTCCGTGACGTCTGCATATCTACCTCCACGGTGCAGCAAACACACAGAAACCACTTATAGGTTTCTTTTCTAACCTTATGTCTGGCAGAAACAGACTGTTGTTTATGCAATTTATGAGGCTGTCTATTGCATCTGTGCAATGCACACAACAACACATAAAAGCACCTGTGACGTGGATATTCTTTGACATTGTGGTGACATTGCAGCTCATGTCTCTCCCCTCCTTCTTTATTTCAGAAAAGAAAAACAAGGGCATGTGTTTCATGGGACACCAGAAAAGGTTGGAACCATTTAGAGATGAATATTATGTGCTACTTTACATATTTATCTGTATTTTCGTTTATCATAATTTTCAGCAATGCAGATTGATTTGATATTTCCCTGTTGCAGATTCTCTGCAGGTGAACTGGTCGAAGGATGGATGTAAGACAGAACAGAGTGGGGAAAACCACACTGTGTGTCAGTGTAACCATCTGACGTACTTCACTGTGCTGGTGGTGAGACATGCGGATACACTGCTTTTCATACAACAAATAAACAACAGACAGAAACCAATAGTGATGAGATTAGTAATGATTTTTAAAAGATACACAGAAATCAACAGTCTTCATTGTACCAGTGTGTCTTGTGAAGGCCATGTTGCTCACTGCACTGTTTCCTATGGCAGGACCTGAATCGTCAACCAGTGCCCCACCTGCTGGAGCTTACTGTCATTACATATCTGGGATGTGCCGTATCTCTGATCAGCTGTGTTGCTCTTATAATATATCTCTGCAGGAAAAGGTACAGATGTTATTAATGTAATATACAATATAGATATTTTTTTTATTATTTTATTATTTTAACTTTCCACTAACTTTCAAGGAGGCGATCAAAGGAGCAGTCCTTGCCCATCCATGTGGGCTTAGCTGTGTCCCTCGCCTTCCTCAGCCTGATTTTTTTCTTCAATGGAGTCCTGGCTAACGTGGGAGGGGAAAGTGTGTGCACTTGGGTAGGAGCAGTACTTCACTACGCCCTCCTCTGCTCCTTCGCCTGGATGGGCATCGAAGTGTTGCACACTTTCTGGTTGGTCTACATGGTCTTCACCCCCCGTCTGAAGCCCTACATTTGGAACCTAGTTGGTTTTGGTGAGTTTCATTTCTGAAATGTATCTCATGACACATAAAGGTAAAGCACATGTAAGACTCTTGATTATTCTTTTCCAGCTCTTCCTGCTGTTCCCGTTGTCATCCTGGCTCCAATAGGTGATATTTATGGGCTCATAGAGGTGCCACCAAGCGAAGACCCTGAGAATCCATATAAGATGTAAGCCTTTCCTTATCTGATCTAAAATTATTTGGAAAGTGAATAAATACAAGCACATGCTTGTATTTAAAATCATGCTTTCAAGGCAACAGCAAAACATTTCAAGGGGATTATGGGAATCTTTAATAAAATGCTGAGCATATTTTGAACATCATTTGGCCTTTATATTTGCATTTTTATTCTGGATTTTTTTTTTTCTTTGTCTTCTGACTGTTTGATTTTTCCAGGTGTTGGATGGATATAAATGAGAATAAAGGCTGGCTAGCTTTCTGTTTGACCAACATGATGACTCTGGCCCTCCTGGTGTCATCTGGCCTTGTGATGCTGTTCCTGGTCTACAGGCAGATCCGCACCAGGGATGAATGGAAACAGAACCGAGTGGCGTTTCTCAGCATCTGGGGCCTCAGCTGCTTATATGGGACCACTTGGGGTCTGGCCTTCCTTAAGTTTGAGCCCATTTCTACCTTTATTCTCTTCATCACCTGTATCCTCAACTCATTTCAAGGTCAGTGCTTTTGCTGTACAGTGATTCCAGATTACACTTCAGGTTTAAAATGAGATGTTATACTTAAGGACAAGTACCATTTTGCAGGATATTTTGCAGACCATCACGTGATAGATGAGCAGTTCGACAGTCATGATGACTGAGAGATGCTCTCACTCTCATACATTCTCCTACAGCTGTGCGAACACTGAACTGCTCCTGATAATACAGCTCACATGGACTCTTTGCTTTTCAGACAAAAACCAACATGGCCACTCACTTGTAAATATCCAGCAAAAGAAAAAAGGAAAAAAAAATTAAACTGAGGCATGAAATGCCATGCATCTTCATCTTTCAAAATCCTTCGGGAGTTTCCAGAGGCATTATATTATGCTGGATACCCCTAATTTGCATATAGAACCCTACACCTCAACTTTATGCAAATAAGGAATGTGTACCTCAACACCACATAGCCTGTAACACAATGCAACTTTACCTCAGTGTGTTATGTAGATGTTTTTGTAGCACAGTAGATGGAAACAATGGAAATGACAGACTCCTTGGACACATGCCATTGGCTTTGCAAACATGATGAGCTCATGTTTATGAACTACTTTGCATTTGTTCTTATTTATGAATACATTCCAGAAAGCTGTCAAAAGAGGATGATGATGCTTCTCAACATTAAATTACATCATTGTCATCTAATAAATACACAGATCCAAAGAAAAAGTGACTTGGAATAATCTCCACGTGCTTTTATAGCTTTTAACTATTTATAGTCGGTTGTTAGATGGGAGTATATTCATTGTTGGCTCATACACTGTGACTGTACATGTGGAGCCAGTGGCCTATTGTATCAGTGTGGGAATGAGACAATGGCCATGATTAATCAAGGCCTTCAGTTGCTGTTGCCTATCAGAGACAAAGCTGTTTCCTCTCACATGCAGCATGCTTGTTTTTGATTCAGCACCAAATATGTGATTTATTAACCCCATTATTGCTGCATAGTGGTATCAGAATGTGTTCTATGCCAGCCATATAACATGCAGTGGCTAAATGCTACGTCTGTAAATGACCCTACCTACAGGTGTATTATTTTCTTAAACATAGAAACAATTTAGAGCCCAATCTAGCTGTTTGCTGACATGACATTATCTGCATTTATAATGGCTGTACGTTTGTATAGAATAGGATTCTCTGCAACTTCCTTGTTGCTAGCACACAAGCTTGGAATGGTACGAACACAAAGACCATCTGATCCAAGCAAAGGCAGGCAGCATAGAAATGACTAAACTATGTCTCGTAACAGTAAAACAAGATTAAAGATTATTTTTAAACTGAATCGTTATGATATCATTGTAAGAACTACCACATAAATGATACCACAGATTATTTATTGTATTATATTTTTGTCAGCAGAAGTTGTTGTAAATAATATGGTTTATTTTTTACAAAACAGAATATAATTTTTCATTTTCTGTTCATCATTTTTAGAGTCATTGTTCAGCTACATCCAGGCAGCTGATAAAAACACGAGTGTATTGGTTCACCTCTGTACACTGTAAAATAATTTATTTTCAAAAATTCTTTAAATAAAAAAATATTAAAATTATGCAATATCTTTGAGTTAAAAAAATATTTTAAGGCTTTTGAATGATTTTAGAAACACGTGAAGTGAGCTGTTATGCTGAGGAATGATAAGATAAGATAAGATAAGATAACCTTTATTAGTCCCACACGTGGGAAATTTGTTTTGTCACAGCAGGAAGTGGACAGTGCAAAAGTTATGACGCAAAAATTAGAATACAATAAGAATAAATACAGTACACAACTGTACAGAATAGAATAAAATAATATACTATATACAGTAGAATAAAATAGAATAAAAATATACAATAAGATAAAAATAGAATACGAATGCTATATACAACTGAGTAAAAATACAACGATGCCAGAAAAGATTATTGCACTTAGTATTATTGCACATGTGTGGATGTGTGTGTTTGTTCAGTTAAAGTCTTTGTTGTGGAGTCTGACAGCAGTGGGGAGGAAAGACCTGCGAAATCTCTCCGTCCCACACCGTGGGTGCCGCAGTCTCCCACTGAAGGAGCTGCTCAGTGCTCTCAGAGTCTGCTGCATGGGGTGGGAGATGTTGTCCAACAGGGATGACAGCTTAGCTGCCGTTCTCCTGTCACTCACCACCTCCACTGGGTCCAGAGGGCATCCTAGAACAGAGCTGGCCCTTCGGATCACCCTGTTCAGTCTCTTCCTGTCCCCAGCAGAGATGCTGCCGCCCCAGCAGACCACACCATAAAAGATAGCAGAAGCCACCACAGAGTCATAGAAGGTCTTCAGGAGTGGGCCCTCCACTCCAAACGACCTGAGTCTCCGCAGCAGGTACAGCCTGCTCAGCCCTTTCCTATAGAGGGCGTCTGAGTTATGAGTCCAGTCCAGTCTGTTGTTCAGATGAACACCAAGGTACCTGTAGCTGTCCACAGCCTCAATGTCCATACCCTGGATGTTCAGTGGTTGCAGTGGAGAATGCTTGTGCCTGCGGAAGTCTACCACCAGCTCCTTGGTTTTACTGGCGTTGATCTGAAGGTAGTTCAGCTGGCACCAGTCCACAAAGTCTTGAGTCAGTCCTCTGTACTCCTTGTCGTCCCCATCAGTGATGAGGCCGACTATTGCAGAGTCATCAGAGAACTTCTGCAGGAAGCACTGGGTGGAATTGTGGGAGAAGTCTGCAGTGTAGATGGTGAAGAGGAACGGAGCCAGAACCGTTCCCTGTGGGGCCCCCGTACTGCAGACGACCCTGTCCGACACACAGCCCTGAGTCCTCACATACTGTGGTCGGTCGGTGAGGTAGTCCAGGATCCAGGTAGTGAGGTGATGGTCCACTCCAGAGTTCTCCAGCTTGTCCTTCAGAACCGAGGGAAGAATGGTGTTGAAGGCACTGGAGAAATCAAAGAACATGATTCTCACAGTGCTTCCAGCGGTCTCCAGGTGAGCGAGGGAACGATGTAGGAGGTGAATGACGGCATCATCCGCTCCAATGCCAGGCTGGTAGGCAAACTGAAGTGGGTCCAGTGATGAGCTTGTTAGGCGCCGAAGCTGAGCCAGGACCAACCGCTCCAGGGTCTTCATCAGGTGGGATGTCAGAGCCACCGGCCTGTAGCTGTTGAGGTCCTTGGGGCGTGAAGTCTTTGGCACTGGTACAACACAGGAGGTTTTCCAGAGCTGTGGTGGCATTTACTGCAAATAACAGATATTAAAGGCTCATTTTTTATGTAGTATATCTGAGAACGTTTTGCCACTGACTTATTCTTACTGCAAATCATGCTCGTTTCCTGCTAGCATATTTACTGCAAATTTTCTGTCCCTATCACACTCACGTCAAAGATTTTTTAAAACAATCAGATACTGTGGCAACTGAGTAAAAACAATCCATTTTGAATCTTGGTTTCTCGTCTGTCGCTCACAGGTTTCTTCCTGATGCTGCGATTCTGCATGCTGGACTGGATGCAGAAGCAGGCTGGTGGCTCTGGTCTTGGCAGCAGCAGCACCGGTTCTACCAGGCAGCACATGCTCCAGGCCCAGGAGAAGAGTTAAATGAACAAAGATGCAGAAGCCGGACTTTGAATGTAAAAATAATGCCAGTATACCACCAGTGATGGAGGAGCTGGAGGTTGACCAGGACGTTTCTCCTGGAGGAGTGTTCTGATGAAATGTGTCTGTCAGGGGTGGTAACTGCAGGAGAATATGAGCTACAGCTAAAAAAAAAAGGTACAGCAGGTTCTCCATATATCCTACGTTTCTTAACTCTGTAACTCGGTAGTAACGAGCACAAGTTAGCTGTACGGGCAAACACAAATATGACCTGCTGTGTAACTGTAAAAGTGAAGATGGGTCAGTATTCCTTCCCAAACATAATCCAGCTGCTGTAACTTCTCAAACTTTGAGTGTACAAACCTTTTTTATTCACTCTAAATTATTTATTCTTGAGCTTGTGTTCTATTTAGTAATCATTACAACAGGAGAAAAAAGAAACATTTTACAAAATATATTTGCTGTTTATTTATAGCTCTATATGTCACACATTCTGAGTTATAATTAATTTTGGTGGCGATTAGCTAAATATTATATATCAATAATTCACTCAAGTTGCATTACAAAAAGGCATTTAATCACTTGATTCTTTTAATTTAGGCCCGTGGCAAAGAAATGACAGTATCACTCAGGAACTCCTTAATCAGGCCTAAAGCCTGCGTTTGCAGAAAAGCTAGACTGGCTCTAGTTGTACAGGAGGGGGATGTCAAAGTTCAAACTAACGTATGTGAAATTAGAAATTGTAAGTTGGAAATAATTATGAATTATTCCCAACACGGAAATTGCGAGCAGGAATAGATGCAGGTTACTGTTCTATTGTATATAAAAAAAAGAAAGCTATATAATACTATTGACGATGTTTTGAACTTTAGATAAGCTTTTTATTTTATATTTTGTATCATGTATGCTTTTTTATAGCTGCTTCCTAAGTTGTTTAAAGTAGCACTTTAGATTTTCGGTCATTTAAACATGTACTTGTTGAGCCTCAGTGAGTTTTCTTTTGAACTGTTTTAATGTGCAGATGGTAAATTCCATATTGCATTTGTCCACACTGTAAATTAATAAGTGAATATTTTATAAATGAATCCAGAGTGACTGTTTTTCTTTTTTTCAAACCTGATTATCAGACCTTTGTCTTTAAAATGGGCCAAAATGCATTTATTTGGTTGGATGCGTTCCAGTATTAAATAGAAATGTAAAATTGTCATGTATTTCATTGGCGTTATGTTTCAGTCATGTCCAGCAGAACTCACATATGTAAGCTTTTAGATACTGTGATGTTTGCACTTTTTTCAAAATTTTAAAACTAAAATATATGTCACTCAATTTAATGTGTATATTTTGGTTTTCTGGATATATATTGACTTTTAATTAAAAAAAATCTTTTGGTTAAAAATGTCGAACTGCTGTGTGTTTGTGTAGATGCATGCCACACTGCACAACAAGAACATTTGCAGCTTGCTGTTTTCCTGTTCCCTCCCTCTTATCTGCTTCCTCCCCTGGGTTTTGTTTTTTCTTAATTGTTGCTTTCTTGCTGCTTGTTTTCCATCTCTATTGTGATACAGTGCGTACGTATTTGGTGGAAGAAGCCAGCCTGATACTTCGAAGAAAAAATTCATGGCTTTTCTTAATGCCTCAAAAGACTTTCATTAATAAATTTCATGATAGTGTTTTACATTTTTTTGCACCATAGCAATAAAATACATCCTTGCTCCTAGCATATGGATGTCACATTATTCTGTCTTTTCAGACATGGTGTCTTTCAGAGGACAGGTCTTTGTTCCAAAGATTCAATGGAAACATTATTTCATCATCCTTAACATGTAATATATTCATAATAAACTAAATAAAACAGAACACTTCACACTGACTTTCCCTATTGAAAGGAATAATAATACATTATATTAAATATGCAGGCCCTAGCCTGGCGACCCCTATTGGATACAGACACCCTGGTCAGGAGGGAAGTAGTGTTACCACTATGCCATCCAGCTGCTATATATACACATTGTGCCAAAATCAAGTCTTAAAATCATTGTTCAAATTCATAATTGGTCAATTTTAGTGTTTAAAGGATAAAACGATTATTGAAATTGCATGTATAATTCCTTGAAGCTTAAAAGATCACATTTTGAGTTTAATCAAAGAATTTGAAACTAGCACATGGTGAAAATATGCAAACTCCCCAGGACCCTCGTGATGTGAGGCATCAGAGCTCAAAAGGTTACCGGTACTGTTGCATTAATAAATAACTTATGACTGGTTGTTTTTGGCTGCCAGCAGTTACTTGCTCTGTGGTGAGCCTTTCATGGTTTTTGCTGTTTAGGAAACAAGACCCATCACTTAAAGTTATTTTGTAATACACTACTTTGTTTTTTATGCATTGCACAAAAGGTCTACAGCTATGAATGTGTCCTGGATTTTTGCGGGTGTGCTGACATGGATACATTTGTTTCATCACCTGACATCTCACTAACAGAATATTGGCACATTCTGTTCAAGTACCCCTCTGCCCCATGCTTCTAACAGGAATGCTCTAATTACACATGTGCTTTTTACACACTCACATCAAGTGCCAAGGGGCCAATATAACTGAGAGAAGTGATTAGGAACATGACAGCAACAACTTGATGATACTATTATTTGTAGCATCCTGTGATGACTTTTTGTCATCTTTTTTGCCTCAGTGTAAACACAATTAGTCCCTCTTTGGTATCGGAACAATGATATGTCGATCATGGGTATGCGCAGTTGTATACGAAGAGCCAAAAATACTGCAAGATCACGTGACGACGTCTCCTCCTGAGCAGCAGCCGGTTGTTTACTGGGTGATGAGGACGCACTGCTGGCCAGCTGTCAAAATCATTAGACAGGAGGAAAACCAGCACAGGTACCACTGGGAAGCACGGCTCTGAACCCGTCGTCACTTAGCGGGCATAGTTTATGTTAAATGTGTTCGTGTTCGGAAGTTTTAGCACTATCTGAATTTAGACAGAGAAACGGGAGAAAGGGGGAGTCCGTTTGCTACAAGCTAGCCGCAAAGAGGCGAGACGGTACAGGAGGTAAGAAGCTCCGCATTCAAAATGAAAGCCAAAATTACAATTAGCCAATTAAATTCGTGAGAAATTAAAGCTGTGTCGCTTGATAAAAGATGGGGAATTTCTGCTGTTAGGGAAAAACAAAACAAAGAAAAAAGCAACTTCATGGTTTTTCTCAAAGAAATCAAAGCTATGATATGCAGTGAGTCGGCTCAAACAATAAGCTAACAGGCTAATATAATTTGGATAGTCTCATGTTCTAACTGTTTTTAACATTAAGGTAAACTAGACCAATTTTTTCCATTTTATTAATTGTTACACTTTTTTGTTCGTTTACTATATATCATTATTCACCGCGCACGCATTTTCGTTTTTGAATTGAGGTAAATGCTTAGTAACGAAAAACCTGATGAACGTGGATTTGACTGATAAAATTGACAACAAAATGTAGCAAGGTTGCCTTGAAAAATAAAGAGAGAATGTGCGAGAAAATAGAGAAAGCCCTTTTCTACCAGAGATGCACTAGATGGTTGTAACTTTATTTTGAAAGTCTTAAGCGGAAGTAAGGTTATTGTTTTAGGAAGAAAACACCGGCTGCTGCTGTTTTGCGTTGACAGATGTTTTATTTTGACTTTGAGGTAGGCAGGGGACTGGCAAGAGAGCTATTAGATCATATCCGTATATAGGTTAATTCTCTAGCCTTAAAAACAACATTTTACAGATTTAATTTAAGAAGAAAAAAAATTCACATCATTATTTATTAGATTTCCAACAAATGTATTTCACAAAGGAGGGAATAACGTGTCATTGAACGTGCTGCTTTTGCTCAGCACAACAGTACCGCGTTTTAGAAACCAAAAAACCAAAATTAAAGATTGTTACGGTGGTCCACTCTAATAATTATATAAAACAATAGACATATTGTGACTACAGCAAACAAAAAAACAAACAAACCCTAAAAGCCCTGCTTGCTTTTGTTACTAGGGACTGTCTGTTATCGTGTTTACCTGCCTGTAGCTCCTCCTGCACTGCTGAACACACATCTTGAATGGAATGCAAGGACAGATAAAACCTTTTTTTGTTGTAATTGCAGAACATGCTGGCATGCTTACATACTTGTTGAGACCAGTAGAATACATGATGTGTACAGATAGATTTCAGTATGATTCATTTCACCTACTAATTCCTGGTCATTTTTCTTCTATAAAAACTACCCTCCTTGCCATCACGTCTTTGTTGCGCAATGTACAACTGTAAGGCAAAATATAAGAAAGCTTGGAAGCAATTTTGAAATAGTTCTCATGGGAATATTTCTTGATTCTTTTACAAAACAGATCTTCAAAAGCAGGATTCGGCTAACTATTGGTTATGGTTTTTTGGGTCTGTTAATCAAAAGAATATGAAGTGAATGAGGATGCAACTACTTGGTTCATGAACACAATTTTCCTCTGAAATGCAGCGATTTTCCTGAACAATAAACATTTTTGTTACCAACCTTATTTTTTAGCCACCGTTTCCAATGTGGAAAACAAAACAATATGTTTATTTTGTTTTTATGTTATACATTGTCTTTGCCTTACATAATTCATCTGTATTTGTTTTGTTTTTTTTATTGTTTTCTCATGTTTTTAACTAATTGTGAAGCCCTTTGGTCAACTCTGTTGCTTTTAAATGTGCTACAGAAATAAATTAGATGTGATTTGATTTGAATGCTACCGATTTTAAACCAGCTTTGGGGTTGCAGTTACTGAAGCTTGATGTACAGTACTGATTATCTAATGGATAAAAATAACATGGATATGGATTCAGTTCAGTCAAACAATCTAACAGTTGGATATATTGTGCTTGGAAAAATCTTCTGTATATACAGTAGTCAAGTGTTTCTTAACATTGGACAGTTGACCTACTACGCAGTGTACTTTGTTGTTATTTTTATATTTTAGCCTTCTTTTGAAACCACAGGGAGAAAGTCAGTTGAAATCCAGAATATCACCATTGCATGAAAAGATCTCCAAGGGATGCCTGTTTAGTTTTAACTCTCTTTGAATGCTGAATCCTTCTTGTGTTGTGTAATCTTCAGGATCGTTAGCAGAGTTGCATGATACCTGTTGCATTTCGCACATATGGAGATTCACACCACCGTCACCCTTTGCTTTAATGAGGCACAGGCAGCTTAACGCAGCCATGAAGGCAGCTCTATCTCCTCTGTTGTTGAGTGATGAGTCAACAGCTGTGACCTTGTTTGACTCATTGATTGTTAAATTATCATGAGGTAAACAGGTGGTGTGCTGGCCAGGTTGTGCGTGAGGAACAGATGCCTAATGATTGAAGTGAAGCATGTACCTCGCATGCACACAGGCACAAGCAGCTGCCCATTAATGATGATTAATGCAGAATATAATAAGAGTTAATAAGCAGCTCATTATATCAAGTTGTGGTCATGTAATTGAGCTGTAAATTGCACATTCCACACTGACAATACAGAAAGCCACTGATATTCTAAACTGCTTCTCCCATATTCAGACTACTTTTGCAGCCTTATAATTTCTAATTTGGTTTTTATTTTTAAATAATTATTTCCCTTTTAACAGAAGTTAAAGGCTGAACAACCTTCAGCATCCTCCATGCACAATGAAAAAGGTCCATGTCATAGCCTTATAAATTATGTTTCTCCACTTGACTATCTCTGGCAATAAGTGATACCCTGAAAATCAATCACTGGACATTTCTCTGACTGCTGAGAATTTATTTTGGGTATGGACATTGAGGCTGTGGACAGCTACAGGTACCTTGGTGTTCATCTGAACAACAGACTGGACTGGACTCATAACTCAGACGCCCTCTACAGGAAAGGGCAGAGCAGGCTGTACCTGCTGCGGAGACTCAGGTCGTTTGGGGTGGAGGGCCCACTCCTGAAGACCTTCTATGACTCTGTGGTGGCTTCTGCTATCTTTTATGGTGTGGTCTGCTGGGGCGGCAGCATCTCTGCTGGGGACAGGAAGAGACTGAACAGGGTGATCCGAAGGGCCAGCTCTGTTCTAGGATGCCCTCTGGAACCAGTGGAGGTGGTGAGTGACAGGAGAACGGCGGCTAAGCTGTCATCCCTGATGGACAACGTCTCCCACCCCATGCAGCAGACTGTGACAGCACTGAGCAGCTCCTTCAGTGGGAGACTGCGGCACCCACGGTGTGGGACGGAGAGATTTCGCAGGTCTTTCCTTCCCACTGCTGTCAGACTCTACAACAAAGACTTTAACTGAACAAACACACACATCCACACATGTGCAATAACACTAAGTGCAATAATCTTTTCTGGCATCGTTGTATTTTTACTCAGTTGTATATAGCATT